GAACCCGCTACCTTAGGTGTACGTGGCTGGCGCCTTAGCCAGTTGAGCTATAGGCGCCGAGCCGCAACAGTGCATATTATAGAGAAATCTTTAATACTAGGAAGAGTTGAGTGATGTGGCAAACTTCATTGTTGTCTTATTTTAAGACAATGCCACAGCCATCCCACTCTTCAGCAACTCGTAGAAGGAGAATAAAAATAATCAAATTTTTAAAATAATTTATGTCTTTACAGAATGTTGCCATCTTATAATAACAGTCTTTTTCAGATATGCCATAAATAGAAGCAACTAAAGAATTCATATCAGTGTTAAAAGAAAGAAAAGTTAACAGAAAACTCTGACAACCAGCTAGCAGTGGTTACTGTGGCAGCAAAAGCAAACTCAGACTACCAGTGTTTTCTTGTATGGGAATTTATCCAGTTTAGAGAGGGAAATAGGAGGAAAAAGAGTCAAATCATAGTTACTCCAAAACAAGCCTTAGACTTACTAAGGAGCAAAGATGGTAAGCAAAATAGCTAGTGACCAGATCTCACTTTCTAAATATCATTCTCTAAAAGGAACCAGGGCTCCATGGAGAAATAATGTGATTCTAAAGCTAGCAGGGAGGGTACAGATGAGCTTCTTGCTATGCCAGAAAGAAAGGAAGGACAATCCCCCCCTCCCCCCAAAAAAAAGAAGAATGTGGAATCTTGATAAAAGGACACAAGAGCTAGCTTGAAGGGGAGCCCACTGGGAAAATCTGAGACTGTTGAGGATCACAATAAATAAGGACAGTCATACGTGGTATGAATAAATTGAAAATGGACCCAGTGAATACAATATGAATCTCTAGCTACATCATAATAAAAGGAAGGTAGATAAGTAAATAAAAAATTGAGGAAGAGGGAAAAATTCTTCCTTATAGTAGAATGCCATCTAATAATTAGAGAAGGAATGATAGACTTTACCTTGTGCCAAGCAGTATGTAAGGCATTTTAGGCACACAGAGATTAAGAGATTGCCCTTAGCCTTTATGCTACTCAGAAGTTGGGAGGAGACAGACAAAAGAATACATAGTTTATCCATTAATCTTGTAACTGCTAGAGCTTAATCTTCTCGAGGACAAGATAGCTGTCTTATCTATTAGAGTAATGCCCTACATTAATTAGTTGATTGTTGATACATTCCTAAATATTGACTGGTATGATAGGGTATATTAAATGTGGGATGATTATTCATTTTATAGATATTTATTATAAAAGTAAATGAACTAGTAAAAATAAATGTAAGGACACAAACAAACATACAAACAAGCAGAAACATTACCTAAAACCTACCACCATTAAATGTGCAGCCAGTGTTGACATTTTGGTGTATTTGCATCTGGGCTCCTCACATGCTTAGATCATGCACAATATACAGTTTTTATCTTTATGTTTTAATGTGCGCAATTTTTTTATTTCAAGGTGTTTAACTTTACGATGCAAATTGTACTTTGACAACTTACTATCTCAGCGGGCCTATTGTGGAAAAATGAATTTTGACCACAAGAATGAAACTCTTACTATATCAGTAAGTATCTCAGTTCTTTACATCTTCATTGAGAATTAGCTACTGCTTTCTTTTCCCTTGATGAAACATCGATAAGATTTAACCTTTTGTCTTTGGAAGAAAGAACTTATTTTAAAGTTAAGGGTAGTATTTGCTAAATTCATTGCAGATTGAATTGACCCTATTGAGTAAAGCTGCTAGTTTAATTATTTTTTCAGATGAGTGTTTACCTTGTCTTTCCACTCCATTAATTACTTTTTTTAGATTGACACAGCATTTTAAATTATGTGGAACGTTATGGAAAGTCCATAGTCTGTGGTGTCACTTTAGGAAGCCAAGAGTGTTCTACCCCACATAATTGTGTTTGTACTATTTACTTCTGAAATTATCCCTAGATCTAGCTTCTTTTCAATAAACAAAGCTATCACATTCACCTCTGTGGGTTTTATACAACTATGGATTCTTTGTAGTCACAGGTGTTAAAAGAGGGCCATGGTTTAGCCATATAACATTAAAATTTGTGTAGTCAGGAAGTCAAGAGCTGCCACCTACTTGAGATAATCTGGGGTTCACATAGTTGCTTACTACTCTTAGTTGCCATAAATTTTATCTCTTCACTTTAATACTTACAATAAATGTTAAATGTTTGGAACATTTTTGTTGTTTGAAACCTCTGCATTTTAAATATATCAGAAAGTTAACTTTGCCTTTTTTTAAATTTTTACTGGTAAGTCATTGGTAGATCCTCCTTACCACCATTCCCCCTCCTCCCAAAGTTGCTTCTGCTGCTTTGAGTCCACTATTTAAAAATATAGATTTGAAGGCATTGGAAGGAATTGTGCTTGTTGGTAGGGAGGTAGTATGTCCTGGTGGTTTATTCTCACTGCAAACTATGAGAAAGCCAAGGAAATTACAAAAATTCTATTTTGAAAGACATTGGAGAGCTGTAGAAGCAACAATGACTAGATGAATTCCAGGGGTCGGGAGCCTGTCCATGGTAAGCTGACATTGCTGGATATGTCCTTGGTAGCATTTGCCAGTTCTGAATTTGGGTGGTAGTAGACAGCTGGCAAGACAGAGTAGAAATTTGAGAGGTGCTAAATACCTAACTAATATTTAAATTAATCACTACCTGAGTTCTGATGTTGTACACAGCTGGTCTAAGGAACAGGGATGAGTAAAAGGTAAAACGCAACTCCAGCCCAGCCCTACAGAACCTGCAACCTAATAGAAGGAAAAAGAGCTCCTCTTTGGTGAAATGTTGTTATATCACCTGGTACCTCCATTTTCTTTTGTGGAAAATATCAATCATAATGACTGAGAGTACAATCAAGAACAAGGCAGTCATGCCCATGTTTGCTATTTCTGTTCGGCATTGTACATGTTATTAGAGGTTCTAACCAATGCAGTTTAGGTCAAGAAAAAGAACTAAAAAACATGCATATTGGAAATTCTCTTATTCATAAATAACACAGTTATCTAGCAGAAAATCTGATGGAATATACAAAAAGAGCTACTAAAACTATTAAGTGCAACTTAGTAATTTTGCTGATATGATCAATATGCAAAATTGAATTCTATTTCTGTATACTTAGAACAAATGATAAGAAATTTTTTAAAATACTATTAATATTAGCATCAGAAATATAAAATACTTAGGGAAAATCTGACAAAAGGTATACAAAACCTGTATACTGAAAACTAAAAAGAAATGCTAAGAAATTAAAGCAGACCTAAATAAATTGGAGAAGTATGTGGTGTTTATGGGTCAGAAGCATCAGTATCATTAGGATTCACTTCTTCCCATATTGATCTATAGATTCAACACAATTCCTATCAAAGTGCCATCAGGCTTTGTTGGAGAATAGCTGATTCCAAAATTCATGTGGAAATAACAGAGCATCTGAAATAGCTAAAACAAAATGAGAGGACTTATCAGATTGTACACTTAAAATATGTATTGTGTATATTCACCTGAAAGCTTTAAAAATTTTCAGATATGTGGAGAAGCATGGAAATGTAACTGATAATTTTGTTAAACTAGGAAATGGAGCCAGGCTCACAGATGATAGTTATAAGAGATAGCAAATTAATAATTTAACCATAATTAATATGTTAAAGAAAATAAAGTTAACTATAAACACAGTGGACAAAAAGATACAGTTTTAGCTTAGAATTGAAATCCATAGTTTCAACATAGAGTTGGAATCTACCAGAACAATCAGTGGGTATTATAAAACTTAAAAAGTACGATATCTGAAATTAAGAACTCCTTGGATGAACTTTAAGTGAGTACAATAGGGAAAGAAATGAGCAGAACTCAAAGGCAGGTCAGAAGGAAATATCTAAATTGAGCAGCTTAATAACAGAAAACATCAAACAGTTTGAGATTAAGAGGGACACAATTAGTCAGTTTAGTGTAAGCATAGTTGGAGTCCCTGTAGGATAGAACAGTGTGGGCAGAAAGAGTATTTGAAGAGAAAATGACTTAGAATTTTCAATTCTGAAATACATCAGGCTAGATTCAGAAACCTTAGCAAACTCCAAGTAAGATAAATAGGAAGAAAAACACATAAGGTTGTCAAATAGCTGAAAACCAAAAGCAAATAACCTTAGAAGTAGCAAGAATGGCAACACCTATAGCTCAAAGGAGTAGGGCACTGGCCCCATAGGCTGGAGGTGGCGGGTTCAAACCCAGGCCCGGCCAAAAACTGCAAAAAAAAAAAAACAATACACAATACTTTCCAAGGAGGAACAATAAAAGTGAAGGCAAACTCTTTAACAGAAATTATGGATGATAAAAGGTTACATGACAGACTTAAAGGTGCTAAAGGCATTTTTTTTTAAACTGCAATCTAGAATTCTACAACTAGTGAAACTATCTTTCAAAAAAGAACATGAAACGTCTTAGCTTTTCCAATAGGTAAAAGCTGAAAAAGATTCTTCACTATACTTGGCCCACAAAAAATACTAGAGAACATTTTCAGTTGAAAGAAAAATGATCACAGATGGAAACATGGAATTGCAGAAAGAACAGAGAATACTACAAAAAGTAAATATGTGAGTGAATAGAAACTTTGTCTAAAATAGCAATAATAGTGCTGGTTCATGCCTGTAATCCTACCACTCTGGGAGGCCAAGGTGGCTGGATTGCCTGAGCTCACAGGCTCGAGACCAGCCTGAGCCAGAGACCCTATTTCTAAAAATATTCAGGTGTTGTGATGGGCACCTGTAGTCTCAGCTGCGTGGGAGGCTGAGACAAGAGAATCGCTTCAGCCCAAGAGTTTGAGGTTGCTGTGAGCTATGACGCCATACACTCTACCAGGGGCAACAAAGTGAGACTGTCTCAAAATTAATTAATTAATATCATAGCAATAATAGTATATTGGGTGGTTCAGAAGTTGTTAAATATATGACAGTAGCACAAAGAGGGAATAGGAGCACATAGAATTAAACTGTTGTCAAGTTCTTATACTTTTTTTGGAAGTAATGCCAATAGTAGCTTCAAAATAATAAAAGTCAGGAAACAAAAAAGCAAAGTAGAATTGACAATTATATTAATAGTTGGAAATTTTAACAGACTTCCCAGCAACTGATGGAACAATCAGATTAAAAGTCAGTAAGGCAGGGTGGCACCTGTGGCTCAGTGAGTAGGGCACTGGCTCCATATACCGAGGGTGGCAAACCTGGCCCTGGCCAAACTGCAACAAAAAAATAGCTGGACATTGTGGCGGATGCCTATAGTCCCGGCTACTCAGGAGGCTGAGGCAAGAGACTCTCCTAAGCCCAGGACTTGGAGGTTGCTGTGAGCTGTGACACTACAGCACTCTACCAAGGGTGATAAAGTGAGACTCTATCTCCAAAAAAAAAAGTAAGGCTAAGGCGGTGCCTGTGGCTCAGCTGGTAGGGTGCTGGGCCCATATACCGAGGGTGGTGGGTTTAAACCCAGCCCTGGCCAAACTGCAACAAAAAAAATAGCCAGGTGTTGTAGCGGGCGCCTGTAGTCCCAGCTACTTGGGAGGCTGAGGCAAGAGAATCGCCTAAGCCCAGGAGTTGGAGGTTGCTGTGAGCTGTGTGACACCACAGCACTCTACAGAGGGCAACAACAACAAAAAAAAAGTCAGTAAGGCAATAGAAAATTCAAATTACAGAATTAACCCAATTGAACTAATTAGCAGCACTATAGAACACTACCTAGAACTATGTCAGATTGTTTTGAAGTGTATGTGAAACATGTATCTAAATAGACCCGTGTTCTTAACCATAAAACAAATCTCAACGTATTTCAAATTGATGTCACAGAATATATCATAAAATCAAGTGAAATTAGGAATAATAAAAGTTAACCTAAAATTTCCCAGATGATTAAAACTTGTAGGATACTACTATAGGATTTCTTAGAAGGGAATTTGTAGCTCTAAATCCATATATTTGTGTAAAAAAAGAAAAAAAGGAAGGCTCACCATTAATGATCTTCTATCAGGAAGCCAGAAAAAGAAAAGCCAGTGATAAAGTCAGGTAGATTTAAGAGCAGAAATTAGAGAATAGAAGACAAATGTATAATAGCAATGAGACAGAATAGCGGCAGACCACATACACAGTTACCTGATTAGTGACAGAGACGGTACTACAAGCTTTTGGAAAAAGGGTGGTCTTCTTAAGAATGGTGCTAGGTTCAAATTGTTTGATATTTCTTTTAGTAAATAAATAGCAAATAAACTTTGATTGCCCTCCTACCTTATTACATTATGTACAAAATTAATTTAGGCATTGATCAGAGACCAAAATGTAAAACAGTAAACTTCTAGAAGAGAATGTAGATTGTAAAACAAGACACAAAAAGCAATAACCTACTCAAAATAAAAGATTAGTAACTTGGACTTTAGTAAAATAGAGAATTCATTAATTGAGGAAAGATATTCGCAGTGCTTATATACAACAAAGGACTTACATCTAGAATTTTACAGAATAGTAAATATTAAAGAGACAGACAGCATATTTAATAATGGTTAAAAGACTTA